TGTGTGAATGCACCCCATGGGGTCTGTCGTTCTCGGGAACGTCGCTTCAGCGCCTGGGAGAAAACGGGACAGACGGTGGCAACGCCCATGCATAAAATAGTCCACGTAGGTACGAAAGCATAGACACGTGTCACATACGTGCTGGGCAGCAAATCTTTTGTGCGACAGTCGAGTTTTCCGAATCAGAACAGAATATTGCAAACAAATTTTGTTGTTGCATGTTGGTGCGACGGTTCGTCGTCAATTCGACATGAAGTGCCCAAAAATGCACCCAATTATATATGTAGGGTGTCGGTCGTAGGCTCTCAGACTTCACTAGGTTATTCGTTCCAGCAGGAGAGTTGAAATGCCCTAGCGAAGAGTAGTAGTGCGGCCCTCTTGCTAAATCATGTCGTCCATGTGTAGTGAGCTTGAACATGTGATTAGCATTGGGTGTAGCATTCGTTCCGGTAGGTGAGCTTCCAATATCCTGGCGATGTCATATCAAAAGCACCCGGCGATGGAACGGCACGCTCCAGCCCACCTCCGCTGAGCAACAACCGATCGTCAAGATCCTCCAAACAGTTGCTGACATAAAAAAGCCGCCCTTATTGCTTGCCTCCAACCAGTCGAAACACAGCCAATCGGGGAAACTGTGTGTTGTATTAATTGCAAGACTGCAACCGATGCCCTCCCACCTCAATAAGTAGCTAGTACGGATATTAGAACACCTCCCGTCGTGGAACCCAACCAAGGAACTCCCGCCACCCTCTTGGGCCTTTTTTTTTCCGGGGGGGGGGGGGGGGGCAATAGAAGGGGGGGCCACATTCCTGAGTAGTACTTCCTGGACAAAATTGCAATGTGTCTTGCATAAAGGCTCTTTGTCTGTCCACAAGACTAAGACACTGGCTAATTGACATAATCCACCCCTTGCCAAGTCCTCGTTCCCCTTGGCAGCAGGCCGTGTGGGGACAACTCATCCTTATGGTCTATAAACTTCATCCGTTTCTCCGGGGATTGCCAGGTATACATCGTCCCCTCCCAAAGTTGGTCGGGGCGGATGGTATTATCTGTAATCACTATGCCCATCACCTGCCGTGCCTCTTGTCTTGTGTCTGTGATCATTTTCTGTAGCAAGATGCACGTATCTAGTAGGGCTTGGTTTTCGCTCCTTCAACATAGACAGATACTAGTAGTACGGAAGTTTAAGCACTGCCGTCAAGTCTACCCATCCGGCGTCCAAATCCTTCCTTAGCCAACAGATATTTCGGACCGCACAGCTTCCTCTTTCTCTGCAGATGGAGGGTACTAGTTTCGTCCATTTATGGTGCGCTATAGGAGTGGTTAGTAGTCGACCCCTGACGTTCCGCGCCTGGGGCTTTTGGATGGTTATCGCTGCCGCATCCTGGATCTCTTCATCATTCATCAGGCTGTCATGCGCTTCACCACGCTTGCACACATGCAACTGCATAATTCAGAGCAGTTTACTTTACTACGAGTCGGGTGCAGCCTCCAGCAGTTTCTGCTAAACGATTCGTGGGGTCCGCCGCATGGCTCGCATTTCGGGATCATTTCCGTGCACGTGGCCATGATGTGTGACCTTCTTTGGCACATCTCCCACACACCTGTGGCTTTCTGCATTGGCGGGCTATGTCGTCTGCCAGTTACTGGCAATTGTAGGGTTGCTTTGGTTGTGGGTGATGTTCGAAACTTGTCTGTCCGAGAGCCCTCCAGTGTACTTTTCACTGAAAAAATAAAGCGTCGTCCCAGAGGGTTTCTTCAGGGACACCACTGTCGATCCGAGTTTCTTCAAAAAGCTATTGCTCAACCATATCACCTTCACGACCCCGGTCTCATTCTCGCTGCTAGGAGTTGCTGCTACTCCAGGTAGCTCCTCGTTGTTCGTCAAGTATCGCTTCGTTGGTGACGCCATCCACCTTCATTGGTTAGATATCGTCTTGTACTACTCGCGCGTCCCGTGGTAGCTTCGTTTACACCATTCGCTTGATCATCTGGAGTTCGTCTTCATTGCGCAAGCAACCCTTTCCATTCCTTGCTTTTGGTCTCTCGTAGCAGCAGGGCGTCGCCACTTGGGGAGCTGTCGTGCGGTTTGTACCCCCTCCACGCCCCCTGCCGGTCGTTCAACGTCAGTTCCAGTTGATAAAGCTCGAATAACTCGGTTGGCTGGTCGGGGCTAGATTTCCTGTCCGGTTCGACGATCGTCATTTCGGTGTCGAAAGGCGCGGATCGCGAGCTCCACGATTTCGGTCCCCACACAATCTAGCATGATGGTTAGTACCAAACACCAAAAGCAGATACAATACACACCTTCAGTGCTATTGCGCTATCAACGATCTCACAAAGCATCGTCTTTCCATCAAGACAAGTCTTGGACCTCCAAAGTTCGGGTGACATGCCCCCCCGATCTTTTCCCAAGTTTCCCCGCTTGCCTACTGAAATTCGCTGTTACATCTGGCGCGTTGCTCTTCGGCAACCCCGCGTGCATCGCCTGCGCACCGCCAATGTGGCTCTCGAGCAGCCCCATTCTCTTCTGCGTACTGAAACACTCCCTCGGTCCACGATAACCACGCGTGACATCCTTGCAACATGTCGCGAGTCTCGAAATGAGGCATTGCACGCATTGCCAAATCTATTGCCTCTTAGCGACTGTATGATTCATTTCAACGGACGTGAGGATGTTATCTGCCTCGTCAAAGTGAATCTAGATGTGTTAGACGCATTGAGCGAGGCGGTATTGAGGTATCGGGCCCCGGGACCTGGTGGCAAGAATGGCGGAGTCATTGCTAAGATGCCCGATGCCCTAGACTGGGTCGACAAGGTGACGAAACTAGCATTAGAAGCGCGCAACTCAGACTTCCATGACGACTTCGGTTTTTCCTCCACTGAAGGAATCGATCAGAATCACCTGCTACGATTCATGTCCATGTTTCCAAAACTGGAATGGTTGTTTCTAATCGTCTTGCCGTCACCGGATGATATGGAGACGGTGATAATTGATGAGGCTGACGACGACGTCGACGACGAAGAGCATGAGGGAGAGGGTGACAAAGATGCTACTACAGGTGACGAAGATACCACCGCCAGTTTCAGGAATGGCGGCAGCAATACTGGCTCCATTGGCGGCTATTGGATTCGAGGTGAGAATGGCATCAGCGACTGGTATCGCTGGGTGCCTCGCAGCACAACATGGGACTACTCGACTGAGAAAGTGCAGACGCACTTCTCAGATATGGCAATTTGGAAGGACAGCCTTCAGGCCACGCTGCGGCATCATGGCGACGAAAGCCGGGTGTTGAGGTCGGTGCAAGTTGAGGTAATGCTGCATTTCAGAGAAGGCGCTGAGCCACCCAGCGATCTGTAGAAATTGAGAACGTCTTATATTAGGTCCAATCACCATTTCTGTTTGATGGCTCGCGCGAGCAGGCCCTAGAACTGCTGGGTGCCTACTGTACAAAGAGGACGCTGTAATTGAGCGGACTTTCATAAATGAGAGGACTTTTCATGACCCGTGCGCCCTCACCTGTGCCTGCATCTTGAAATTACCCTCAATTAGTTAGAGCAACTCTTTTGGCCGGTTGGTACTACTCATTGGAGACCTGGGCGGGAGTGGAAGGTGCTGCGTTCGGTGGTGCCATTTTTGGCGAAATTTCATTCACGGCCAAATCTGCCTTTAGCAGCGAATCACCAAAATTGCCTAGCCACAGTGGCGACTTTAGCACCCGGGTTCTTGTCGGCGTATTGAAGAGCTTGATCGACACGTAATTCAACTTCGCTCTTAGCTGCTTAGGTAGGTGTTGGGGGCATTTTCGCGGTTGGACGCGTTCAAGGTTGACAAAGTGTCCGTCGTGCTGATAAGCACCATCCTTGGGGCGAGCTCGCGAATCGGCGGGCTCATCAAACCCGGCGCATTATTTGCAACACTTTTTCAACAACTGTAACATAAAACATGTCAGGCTTCTTTCCTTTCTCTTCAGCTTAGTTGTTCGTAGTCAATCCACTGTATTTCCAGTGCTTCAGGCCTGTAGCTTGCATCGTGCCGTGATACTGTTGGTAAAAGGCAAGATAGTGTTAGAAATACGGTGGCACAAAATCACAGCACAAGCTCTTCAAAGTAGAAATCATGTTCATTCTTCTTCTTCCAAAAATGAGCAGCTAATTTCTCATATACTGGACTAACCTCCGTTCTGTGACGGAGTGCCACAAGCCACAATCTGACAGATACACTCGTGTCAGCACATGGCAAGTCAGACGGCAGGTGACGGCGCAGTGACGAGAAGGCAAATGGAATTGTCCAGCACTCGAGCTTGAGGGCGGTCTGAACAGTTTTCAGTACATTTTGGACACCAAAACTCCTCCAGGTAAGCGGACGTGGAAAGCAAGACGTAGTCCGACAGAAACCGAAGTGCGACGCTGTTGCGGCTCTTGGGATAAGACCGACGGCGATCTTTGCCCAAGTTCATCCATGCGCGTCTGCAGAAGTTTGTCGGAAACAAAGCAGCAGTGTTGAGTTCAACTGTCCGAAACCGCATCGACGAGCCCTTGGCGGTGGTCTCTTCGTTGATGACCCTGGTGTAAATGCGGAGCGTAGCTGGCGCGGAATGCAAAGCAAGCCATGCACACTTGAAGGAGATACACGGGCCCATGAGGGGCGGTGACAACCCTCAGTCTGCACGGCTGTGAACATTGTCCACGAACATGAGGCTCCAGAAGATACCTCTGGTGACGCTCCGGGGGAACGTCTGGACTTTCTAATGAGATATTTGCTTTATGGCCAGCTACGCGTCACTCGACATCTGAGCGGCGCGAAGGACGCGCCGCACCCGCGCCCCCACATGTGTGCCTGGCCAAGTAAGGCCTTTGGTCTCGGCGACATATTTCGCTCTCCCACAGGACACTTTCCCTCCAGAACCGATGGCAACTCCGCGATCGAGATTTTCTGCCTAACTTGAAGTCGCGCCGGCACCGTGCACATCCGACCCGTTTACCGACAGCCATTTGTCATGGCCGGAAACCACGATGTCGCAGAGCCTTCCACGAAGCGCCGCAAAACGAATCCAGTACCGGTCAGCCTCGCACTTGATATAGGAACCAGTGGCACCAGGGCGTCTATTACGTGGAGTAATAAAACTAGGAATGTACCAATGGGCTACAGAACCGATCACGACGGCAAATCGGCGCCATATTACTCGTTCTCCACGGCCATGATATCCACGCCGGATGGCTTGGAACTCGCGGGGCTTCGCCCAATTTCTGAATACGGAGAGGAGCATTACGGGCTCAAGGAATCGTTGGATGACAGATTGTGCAGTGAGGGAGGACCTGGTAAAGACTTCCGGGATTTTTGCGCCAAGCGCGGAACCGACCATTGGAAGGCTCTCCGTCTACTTCTACGAGACCGGTGGCGCTACATAAACAATCAGATTCGGAAGATGCTTGTAAATGTCGAATTTGAAATAACGGAGGTGGTGTTCACCGTACCCGCGGCTCAAGCTTCCGACGACCTTTTGGAAGGTGAGACATTCGGAAGGGACATACAAGCGGGGATGACGCGGTGCGCCATCGAGGCAGGAATTCCAGAAAATGTAATCGCGCCTTTTCGAACGGAACCCGAGGCAATCGCATCCTACGTGGCGTCTCGTGATGCAAAGCCGGTTAAAAGCAGGCGAAGAAAAAACCCGCAATATGACGAACCTCGTATAGTCGGTGGACACTGCGCCATTTGTGAGGAAGAACTGTAGCTGACGCGTCAATAGGAAATTGTATTGGACATGGGCGCTGGAACTACGGTAGGAACTAGAAACAGCTCACCACTTGCATGTCTTGTCAATACTAACATTCAGTAGGACGTAGCTACCTATCTTGTCTTCGAAGGACGTGCAATTCTGCTTAGGAAACCTGATGGCCGCAGCGTTGGCATAGGCAGATTGTGGCATCTATGGGAGCGGGAGTGCCAGAGTTGGGTGACTGACGCGAACCCATGGAAAGATATTTCTCGCGACTTAAGATACCATGTCCATGAAATGCCTGAAGGCTGTAGCGACTTCAAGCGAGGTGACAAGACGATTCGGGCGAGCGACTTCCAAAACGACCTTAACGACTGCTGTGACGAAGCGCTCAAGCTGTTGGAGACCGAACTCTGGTCCGTTGATGAAGCAAAGACTGACAGACTGAGGACTGTAAGACTTCATGGTGCTGCACTGTCGAATCCTCATATTAAATCTTATTTCCTGAAGAGCCTTGACAGCATCTGCATCAGGATGAGAGAAGGAGGTCGCAAAGCCGAGTTCGAGGTGGACATCCTCGACCGGAAGGAAGATGAGTATGTGGTCCTCCCCCCCCCCCCCCCCCTTTTTCTTTTTTTTTTTTTTTTTTTGCTTTGCAGGTTTTAGGGACGAAATGAATGACGGCGGATATTTTGTAGAGACATGCCAAAGCGAAGACCAACTTTGCAAATCGAGCATGAGACGGGGGAAAGCAGTCTTCTCAAAGAATCCTTTGCCAGGGTTTAGAAGGGCAGTCGTTGGCGTCATGACGACGCTGCCTGTGCGTTCCGATGCTCCTATCGTTGTTGGGGAGGCACCGTTACAGAAGGCCGTCCTAGAGTTGAAGGCCCCTGGTAAACTCGAGGTAGAGTCCGGATACGAGCAGATGACCGTGGCGACTGAGCCAGACGATTTCTGGATAGAGCTACAAGAGCTCCTGCACCTGGATAAGCCGCTTGAAGGCAAGGTTAGCGACAACACGGGACGTCCGTACTGGTCAGACGAGTACGCCATGCCCATGGGTCCCCAAAAGTTCGACCTGACAGGGCTCAGGTCCACAGGCGACAAGGTTTGGGTGAAGTTAATACGCGAAGCGTCGACTCTGTATATCCTTGAAGTCAATTGTGGGGATGAGAACCCGCGTGATGAGAAGGCAGCGGATGGACAAGCGATCCGGAGGCGATTGAAACTTTGCAAAGATGGAGAGATGGAGATTTTCGACGTTGCAAGTGATGAAGACAAAGCCGATGAACATACAAACGTATCAAGACCCGTCAATGGGCAGGGGACGAGGTCTGACGGTTTGGATAAAGCCATGTGGAATGGTCGGGCGGGTTCGACGCGCTATCCTTTGCGATCAAAAGGCGCCACTGACGTCTTGTCAGGACAACAGCAAACGGCCCCTGAAGCCGGCTCACCAGTTCTAGGGATTGATGCTCAACAACTATTGCCCATCGGCAAAATGGTCAGCCAGAGTGAACAACTCAACCATGATCCGTACGGAGTCCCCTCAGACGGCGAGCAAGCGGTCCCTCGTACTCCAGCAGCCCCTCCAGCAGCCCGTACTCCTCTACCTTTACGAAAGCCGGCTCTCACGGCGCCACCAACAGAGGTCCTTCGTACCCCGTCACCTCCAAAAAGTACGGCTCGTACATTTACAAAAAAGATCAGCGTTCTTCATCTGCTTGGCCCAAGCACATAGCCGAACGGTGTTCGGGTCTCTGAGACGTGCCTGTTCGCCTGGGGATTCTGGCAAGATGCGATTCGAATCCAGGTACCTCTACGTCGTTGTCGCTGGCCTGGAAGTCGATGATTGTTTCTGATGAGTCATGGTACACTACTCAGATGACGATATATATGCCGAGATAGCAGTGTTGTTGAGCTGTTTGGGACAAGGGAAGCTCGTTTAAAGTAGGACTGGGCACGCTTTGGATGGCCGGCCAACGTGAAAAGCTATCTCGGGGTCTGCATGTCAGACACCGCAACTCTCGACACATTTTGAACCTAGCAAGTGATGTGGTTGTCGAAGATCCGCACGGCGCGGAACCTCAAGAGAGCCTGTTTTCTCACCCGGCTTAGCATGTGTATTATTCCGCCCCTTGATAACAGCGCCGCCAATATTTGGTTATCTCACAATGCTGCCCTGGAATCAGACTGCGAGTGGAACGCAACTTTACGTAGCCTGAGCCCGCGGTATGATTGGCCTGCAGTGCTACTATGTCAACTAGCTGCTACTGCACTTTTCCTCCCTGCTTCCCGCTCGCCACCTTCGAGTTGTCACAACAAGTCAGCTTCAGCCTACATAGAAGCACGCAACCTGGAGAAGGTGAAATGTGCGAATCGTGTGTTTGCGATTTGTAATGGGCTGGCTTGCAGAGCAGTCATGGCAACACAGTTAAAAGAGACCACCGCTACTCGTCTGCTTAATAGTATCCCCACATTCCCCAGCCACTGTGACATAACCTACAACTAGGATCAGGTCTGCGGCCAGAAGTCATCTGGAAAGATGTTACAATCACGCAAAAGCACTGTCCATTGTGGAATTAAAAACTATAGGGCTTGGCGACACACATGACAACTATCTAAGCGTCGTTAATAAATACTACAGCCAATTGTGACAGGAAAACATCGTCGGCTCATAAGCATCGCCGTATCCCCACATACTGACTGTTTGGCACAGCTCTTTCGAGCACAATTCTTGGAACTATCGGATTGGCCTCGAAGCTATGCAATGACACCATCACGCTTAGTGGGCGAAGCACGTTTGACAGACACCCTGTCCGCGACGAGGGTTGTATATTGATTGTTCTTTTGGGAGATTGACAAGCGAGAAGATACCGCGAGTGACCTTCAAACAGCGTGATTCGGGCAGTGTAGTAAATAATATAAA